TACAAGGTATTCTTAATGTTTTATTTGTACAATTAAAATACTGAAGAAAAACAATACTATTGAATTAGGTAAAACATCTTTTATTTTGTTTTTTTTATAAAATATCTATATTTCTTACATTTTATACAGATAAATATCCTGAATTTGTATATGATATGGAAGCATTGGAGGAGATGGATCATATAGATATTACATCCTTACTTTTATTACATATATGCCAATACGAACCTACTTTTTATGAATCGATGTGTAACAAATTACAATATGAAATTCAAATTCAAATTAAAATGTTCTTAGAAATGGTCATTCCTTATGGGAAAGAAATAAATAAACAGTCTTTGAGAGCTGCAATATCTGAATTGGAAAACGGAGCACCAAAAACACCAGTAACACCAAGAACACCAAAAACAGAATTTTTGAAAGATTTTTTGAATACTCCTGCTACTACACGATCTGCTCAGAGTCATAGATTATTATACCAACGAAATCGTGAACTAAAAAAGTTAATAAACGAATTAGAAGTTGAACGATTTGAAAAAGCAGATTTACAAGAGGATTTACAAATACAACAAAATAAAATAGAAAATTTACAAAAACGGTTAGAGGAAAAGACAGCCCAATTGAAAGCAATACGAGATGAAAGATTACCGCAGACCCCACAATCTTGTAAGAAAAGCAAAAATACAGTAGATTGTGAACAATATTATAAAAACGAAGTAGATCATTTGGAAAATGAGCTACTAAAGAAACAGGATGAAATAGATAAGTTAGAAACAGAGAATTTTAGCTTGTCTAAAAAATTAGCAGGAATAGAAAAAGAATGTAAATGTTTTAAACAAAAATTAGTCATATGTGAAACGTCATTAGAAAATATGCAAATTGAAAGAGAAATTAAAGATAGAGAACTGTCGTGTCTTAAAACTTCTAATGAAGAATTACATGCTCTTTTGAAAGACCTTAATAGACGAGATGATAAGGAACAGAGCTTTGAAATTGATGGTGTAGGACTCTTAAATTTATCTACTCCATTTCTAAACACCAGCGAAGCACTTAGTACAGTGGTTGAAATACAACTACAAGAAGCAAAAGAAGAATCTGCTTTGTTGAAAAGCCAAATTGATGTTTTAAATCAAAAATTACAAGAGAAAACAATACAGTTACAAGATACAGAATTTAAGCTAGATACCACCATGAAAAAATTCACTGAACAGATCAAATCTCTACAAACAGAAAACACGTTAATAAATCAGAAGAATCAAAGTTTGGAATCAATATGCACTTTTCAAGAAAATTCATTGCTCCTAATTGAGGAAGCAAAAAATAGTCTAAACGTCGTAGTAGGTACTTCGAAAGAAAAAGTAAAAGATTTGGAAGACCTTCTGAAGAACGAAAATATAAATAATAAGAAATTAAATAATTAA